AGGTGCAGATCTGCCGGGGCTGGGAGCCCCAATCCCAAATCCCGTTATCCCAGTCCCTATTCCCGCTATCCCAGACCCCAATCCCATTATCCCAGACCCCATTCCCGTTATCCCAATCCCATTATCCCGGTCCCACTCACCATCCTCCTCTGGTTGCTGAGGCAGAAGGTGCAGATCTGCCGGGGCTGGGAGCCCCAATCCCTCTATCCCATTATCCCAGTCCCATTCCCGTTATCCCAGTCCCTATTCCCGTTATCCCAGACCCCATTCCCGATATCCCGGTCCCACTCACCATCCTCCTCTGGTTGCTGAGGCAGAAGGTGCAGATCTGCCGGGGCTGGGCGCTCTCTCCCTCCCTCCCGGGGGGCGAGGCGGCCCCGCCGGGGTAGAAGGCGGCGGGTGCCGGTGCCGGTGCCGGTGCCGGTAGCGGTGCCGGTGCCGGTGGCGGTGCCGGTGGCGGTGCGGGCGCTCCGTGGCACGGCTGCCCGTTCCCGCTGGCCTCCCCGAGCAGCAGCACGTTGCCCAGGTGCGAGATGTAGCTGGAGGCGAGGCGCAGCGTCTCGATCTTGGAGAGTTTCCTGTCGGCCGGCTCGGTGGGGATGAGCGTCCTCAGCGCCGTGAACGCCGTGTTCACCGAGTTGGTCCGGTCCCGTTCGCGGGCGTTGGCCGTGTGCCGCTGCCGGGGCTCCCGGGACATCCTGCCGCGGCTCTTGCCGCTGCGCCGCTTGCCGCTTTTCATCGGGAATCCCGCGCCGTCCATGTGGAACGGCTTCTCCTCCGAGCCCGAGCTCTCGCTGTTCTCCTCGTCCTCGGACAGCGCGCTGATGTCGGGGTACAGGAAGCGCCCCGGAGCCGAGCGCAGCATGGCGAAGGACATGCTGCAAAAAAAAAAAAAAAAAAAAAAAAAAAAAAAGCGGGGATCGCCGCCGGGAAAAGCGGGAATTGCCGCTGGAAAAGCGGGGATGCTCAGCTCTGTCCGCTCATGGCTCCGGGGGATTTTTATTCCGCTCTTATCCCGAGTTTTGGGGCTGTTATCCCGATTTTTTTTTTTTTTGGAGGGAGGTGGTTTGATGGCGGTGTCGGAGTTCTGACGCCGGGTTTAACGCCGGTAGATTTTTGATCGCGGATTTTTTTTTGGGAGGGCTGGGGGGGAGCGGTTTTGAGCGCGGTTTTAGGAGCTTTGATCCCGGTTTATTCCCGGTTTTCGGGCTCGCCGCCGCCGCTCCCGGCGCACGTGCGCATCCTCCGGGAGCCGCGGGCTGGAATTGCGGGATTTTTATAGCGGCGGGAATGGGCGGCCCGGCCCCTCCTCCGGGCCCGGCTTCCTTGGAAAAGGAGCCTTTGGAAAGGGGAGCCCCAGGCCCGGCCTACCTGAGCTCACCCTCTAGTCCCGGCTTTAACCCCTTCGCCGCTCTTTCCCCGCTTTTCCTTTTCCTCCCCGACCTGTTTTCCCCATAAATTCCCTTTTCCCTGCGATCCCAAAGCTCGGCGGAGCTGAGGTCGGGGGTTGGAATTCTGGGATCCCTCTGGAATTCCTTCCCCGCCCGGGACTCGCCGCATTTTCCCTGGAATTCGCCGCTCCTTTCCCGGTTTCCCCCCCAAAAAATTCCTTTATCCCGATCCCAAAGATCAGCGGAGCTGCCGGGGAGGGGGGCAGGAAATTCTGGGATCCCTCTGGAATTTTCCCCCCCCCCCACGCCATTCCCGGTGTCCCGCTGGATCCCATCCCGAAATCCCGGAGGATTTTCCGTGCCGGGATGGCACCGCTGGCATTGTCCCCGTCCCTGTCCCCCCCTCCCCATTCCCGCTGGGAATTGGGAATTATCCCGGCCCCTTCCCCATTCCCGCTGCTCCCGGAATCGGGAATTAACCCTTGAGGAGCCGCCGCTGGGATTTGCTGGGATTCTGGGGAGCCAGGATGGAATTGGGGAATTCCGGAGGTGTCAGGTGTCTCAATCCATGGGGCAGCTCCCGCTGTCCCGGGATGGATCCTGGGGCAGCCCTGGATTCTTTGGGAATTCTCTGCCAGGCAGGAATTCCTTCCCCAAACCCCCAAAATCCCATAAACCCGTTCCCCGGCTCCTGCACCCCAAACCCCTCTGCAGCTCTCCCAGAAAAACTCCTGGGAAAGGCTCCGGGATCTCCCGGGATTTCCCTGCTCCCCCCTGCACATCCACGACCCACCCCACGGAATCCCCAGAGCATTCCCGAGCCATCCCCTACCCCCTGGAAAACCGGGAATTCCCTCCTCTCCTCTCCTCTCCT